AAACAATGCATCCTTCAAGCTTTCTTCAAATAAATACATTGACAATGCCAACAAATTACTAACTTCATGTATTTGTGAAAACAGAGATTCAGTCTATGCTACTTCCAAAACACCAGTTTGTTCCTGCAGCACGGGCACAGCTAAATCCTAGCAGGTTGGACTTGACCAACACGAGTCACACAGACCACAGTAGAGAAGAGAAGTCACAGTGGTTTCTGGAACTTTAATGTAGATGCACTTAGTAGTACCTAGGATTCTTCAGGCTGGTTTTGGAAAAACTTCTTGTCATTGCTAGGATTACTTGAATAAGGCTAGTGGGAGCAAGACTGTGCTGTTAAGATGAAGGAAAAAATACGGATATAGCCAAAAGTTGTGCAAGGAGAAGAATGAGAGGTCAGAAAGTCTCATAGTGGGTAGATGTAGAACAGAGTCCAAAATCTTAAACTGAAGTTCATATCTGTACAAATTATTCACTTAATTACTAGACTATGTATTTGTTAAATTAATATTGAAACTGTCATATTATCTGATCTTTGTGTCATATTTTCCCCTCAACAGCTTTTAAACTTTTCATCTCATCTTACACCTTTGAATATTGTATCTTACTCCTGATCTCCTGATTTCCAGATACATAAGATTAATAATTGCACTGTCTTCAGTAGGAAGAGTATCTGTAAACTTGAGCTAACTAAAACGGAACTAAATTCTATAGAAGACAAGTTACAATTTAAACCTTAATTTCCTTTTTCCTCACCACAGGTTAGCTAGAGACAGTAAAGCTAACTTTTATAAAGAGGTATTTTCCAATGTTGAAGACAACTGAAAATGCTGATTTCTTATTCTACTATTACATATGTCATTTTAACACATTTAATTTACCACATCTTATTCTCCTGCAATGTAAAGATGTTCTTCAATAGATACCTAACAGCTGGGATGACTCAGGCTTTTTTGGAATATTATTACATGCCTCTACATTGCACAACTGGGTTAGAGATAGGAGGAACTCAGTGCTCTGGGCTGTATCCATAGTAACCTGTGCATTTGACAGTTGTATATGGGAGAATAGAGAAAAAGGAGAACAAGAGATGACAAATGTAAAAGACAGGGGCTACCTCCAAAAAGAAAAAAGGATAAAGAGGAAAAAAGGAAGGGACTTCAAAAAGAGAGGAAGAAATAAGAAAGGTGGAAAACTAAGGGCTTCCCTTTCTGAGTATTTGTCTTTCAAGTTAAAATACAGAGGTCATACATTAAAAAGCAGCTGGTAAAAGTGTAAAATTGAATTTCTTTAAATGACCCAAACTCTACTCTGAAAATATATTTACATAAAAAGCAGCTGGTAAAAGTGTAAAATTAAATTTCTTTAAATGACTCAAACTCTCCTCTGAAAATAAATTTACACCCCAGTAAATTTAATACTTAAAATAGAACTGTTCCTTGGTGCTCTAGGATAGCCAAAGTAGTCTGATTTTTATAAAAGGGTACTTTGTTATGCTCATATAACTCAAAAGTGCTTGAGGTTTGTTTAAATGACTGAGATAGATACAATTTTACAGGTGTAATTTCAGAATCAACTCTGTAAACATTCTGCCCATGATAATGTTTTGAAAAAACAAGTCAGTGAAAACTAGAAGATGCAAATTTTGAAGATTGTTTCTTTATGTAAGAAAGATAAAAATATCTATTTGATATCTTACTGAATACAGTAATAACAGGGATAACATTTCTTAAGCAACAGGTATCTAGTCTTTTATAATAATTTGAAAAAATTTGCAAGATGTATTGTAAAAGATTAATTAGAAGCAGTGTTTCAAAGTTATAATATACCGTGAGAACAACTTTTTGTTACACTGATTATTGGGTCATATACTTTCCTGCAAGGAAATCAGGAGGCTATAATAAAGTCTCAAAATTCACTTCAATGTGTAGTTGAGTATGAACAGATAGAGATACATTTTGCTAGGAGGAGCCAAGAATAGCACTAATAAACCACGCTTTCAATACAACCTGACTCAATGTAAAATGACAGCTGAATTTCGGGAGTGCTATTGGGCACCCAAGGTGTGCTGGGGTCGCAAGCAGCTGGAACTAATCTACAGCACAAGCTGGTAGGGCATTGCTGTTTGTTTTTGCTTTAGCTGCATGCTCCATTTTGTATTGTATTTCACAACTGCCTGATAATACGCTGCCTGGACAAAGAGACATTAATCATAGTGTCATCCGGTTTTGTAAACAAGGACCAAAGCCTTCATTTAAAGAAGAGGAGAGAAAAGTAAGTGGATGACGGGTGGGAAAGGAAATGGTTAGCCTGCACAGAAATGACATTCTGTGTATGACCTAACTCTATCTTCAGTGCAATTTTAGCTTATTGCTATGATTGCATAAGTTCCTTCAAAAAATTCTTACCTCACTGGATAACCTTGTACTTTTGCCATATTGCAGCTGGACTATGGTTTTTAGTGAACAAAGTCTTAATGTTTGTAGCAGTATTATTTTACATGTGCTTCTAGAACTTGGGTTCAAGTATGCCAAAGATCTGGGAGAAACTGTTTGACAATGTTTGATTCAAACTACAGTTTTAATGCAAATTTAAAGGTTGAAATTAAGGTTTCCTCAAAGGCTCAGAAAGTATAGGATAGAGCTTTGAGTCAAAATCCACTCAAACATCTCCTTTTCAGTCTGGGATACTCATAGCCAATATAAGAATTTAGCAATTGTGCTGGTTCCACTTTTTTGTCTCTTTTTTTCCATTTACTACAGAAAATAAAGCAAAAAATAAGAAAGAAAATGTCTTGGGCTAATTATCATATGAAACAATTCTTCTAAACTCAGCACAGACCAGGAGAACGGTTTTCTAAGCAGCTTAATGCTGAGCAGGCCAGACAGGAATTGAATTGTATCCTGAGCTGCTATCTTATATGTAATACACTGTGAAAAAAATAATTACAGACTATATCATAGTTACTAATATTTATCAGAGCCCCGTTGTTTTAGCAAGAAATGAATATTTAATTTTATTTTTTTAGCTTGCTTCTAAAAGCAATGGAAATATTTTCTTGTATAACATAACCGATTAACACCTGTTTTAATTAACCTCTTAACAATAACCTGAAAATTAAGTGTATACACCTCTTAAACTACACTACAAAATGAAACATTTTGTTTTCTATTAAGCTCAATTCCTTCATATGTTACAAAACTACAATGCTGAACAAACTGTCAGCATATTTCTTCACACTTTAACTGTAATAAAATACAGCCATATACAGAGTGTCTGTGAATTCAACCCAAAACCTTGACACATAGCTGATATAACTGAAGGGAAAAAAAAACAAAGCCAATAAGTTTTAATTACTTTCTTTCCTTTCCATTCTTTATTTCTAAGTTTTATCAGTTAGAGGGGGTGGAGGTAAAAACCATGTGCTTTCTGAAAACTAGTGAAAGGGGCTAAGCAAACTATATATATCTTTTATGTAAACAGCTCCAAGATTAGTCGTGGTCTCTGCTTATATGAAAATAGCATACATGAAAAGCAAGTGTTAAATGTTGAAGTCTGTAAAAGATCAAGATGGTAACACATTTTGGCTTTTCTGTCTCATAAGCATTCTTCTGACAAGTCAACCCAGTATCAAGGGCATAAAAATTCACAATCTATGACTTTCCTATCAACGTCCATTTTCAGGGAGAATGAACTGAATACATTATGTAGAGGTGTGCTTTTCCACAACAGAAGCCTTTATAGCCCCTGTCGCACCCTGTCAGCAAAAGAAATCATTGTTAGATGTCTGCAATCACCTCACTAGATGCCTCTTTAGAACTGTTTGTAATTTGTCCAATTCACACCTAAATCTGGACACAGTGCCCTAGAAGTGTCAACTTTGATGCTGTGTTGGGTAGAGCTGCTCTCCTAGTTGAACCCCTTCTGTTTATATATCCTAATTAAGACAGGGACATTCTCTATAGAAAATCCATACAATTATATGTAATACAATTCCATACAACAGTGTTTGCTAACTGGGCTTGTTTCCTCAGAACGTGTAACAGGTAACAGAGCAGCTCAGGCAGAAATGTGAACAGTGATCACCAAGCGCAGCCAGATTTTAAACCAGGATCAGTGCCTATCCATCCTTCTCCTGTGTAACAACTGTGTAACAACTCTGTAAGGACATATATAAGGTTTTGTTGTTCCCCCCCAACTTTTCTCCCTGACAACGCTGCTTGTTTTACGTGATTCAAATCTCGAGAACAGATTTCTACTAGTAGAAATTATCCGAGGAGCAAATCTGGTCACATGCTTCTAGTCACTGTATTGTTTTGTATGACACTTGCAAACCACGTGTCCTTCACACATGGGTCAAGGGAAGCAGTCATGCTGCCCTACAGCAGCAGCTCAGTCCTAACTATACATGTAGAATGTTCTGGAAATCTACAAACACCTTGTTGTGGTGTTTCCAGTCTAACTTAAGACACTGTGAAAAATCACCCCAAACGGTGAAGAGAGCTCACGTGTGCCCAGACGTGCTCATGACGTTGCTCTCGGAGCAGTACGGGCACGCCGTGGCCCAGCTCCTCGGTCCTTCCCTCCAACACACGCTCAAACCCGCGCCTGCCCTGCCCCGTCCTTCTGCCGCCTCAGCTCTTCCCTCCAGGGCAGGAGCATCGCCAGCCACCTCCGCGCCCGGCGGGTCCCGCTCGCGGAGGGAAGCAAACACGGCTGTCAGGCGGCCTCGAGCTGACAACAGTACCTGGGCCTGCGGCTGGATTTCTGCTGCAGATTGTTCCAGCCACCCCCTTTCGTCTTGGCACCGTTTGCGCAGCCTGAACAAAGGCGGAGTCCGGTGTTTTTGCCCTCTGTTTGCCGTTTATAGGTGTCTGTCAGAGGGCCCCAACCTGAGGAGATCCCGCGCGCCACTCTCCCTCTCAGGGCGTCCAACGGCCGTCAGCGAGGCGGGAAAGGGCGGGAAACCGCCGCGCGCGCCAGAGGCAGCCCCCAAGCTCACCTGAGGGAGCGCCCCCCGCCTGGCTCCTCCCCGGCCCGGCCCGGGCGCGGCCCCGGCACCCCCTCCCCCGCTGGAAGGGGCGGGCAGTCCGTTCTGAGCTCCAGCGGCGAGCGCGGCTGGTGGGGTGACGGCAAGAGCGGCACGAAGTTCACTGGAGACCCCCTCACAGGGTGAGGCGGCTCGGGACGGATGGGGAGAGCGGTAGCTGGTTGCGACGGAAGCTCTGGGCGCCGAGTTGGGGGGGAGGACCGCGTCGCACTGTTCTCTCTGCAGAGATGGCCGGGGCCGGGCGGCACTGGGCTGTGGCGCGACCTGAGCGGAGCGCGGCAGGCACAGGGGACGTCGCCGTGTTGGGTTGCCGCCTGCGGCTGTGGAGGTGGCTCCCCCAGCTGAGGGGCTGGCTTCCCTCCTCTACCTCGACCCGTTAAACACGCTTTCTGAAAGGCCGAGGGTGCCGCTTTCTCTCTGGCGCGAGGGGAGAACAACACGGCTCTCCCTCTACGACCGCCGGTAACGCGCGGGGAGGCCGGTGGAGCACCGTGTCGGGGCAGGCCTTCCCCCGGAACGTTCCTCGGGGCTGAGCTGGCGAGCGGCGGCTATGCCGCCCCTGGGGCGAGCGTGCGGAATGGGCCGCGGAGGGGCGAGGGAGTTCCGGGAAAACACTCCGATAAGACCTATTTCCGAGTTTTCCGTCCCAGCTGTGAAGAGTAGGGGCTCTTTTCCCCAAGTGCGTGTACCAGCCTGTGCGGTGGTTGCGGTGCCTCAGCTGGAGGTGCCTGTGTCGGCCTTGGCTCTAGGTGACCGCGCACTGGCCGGGCTGGGGGGCGCTGAGGTCAGGAGCCCCGGGCTGCTCGGTCGGCGAAGAGCCCCTCGCGGGTCGCCGAGACCGAGGTGTGTCGGGGGTGCCGCTGCCGCCAGCCCGTACGCATTCCTCCGGGGATTCCTGGCATTCCTGAGCTGAGGGCACTCTGACTTCTTCATCTTCCTTTTATTCCACGAATTAGCTTATTTTTGCGAAAGGGTGTGCCCGCATTGTGTGTGTTCTTTTTCATGGGAAAAGCTCAGAATGGCAGTTCAGACATTTATTCTTCTTCCCAATTAACTTTGCATATGATATAATTTATAACCCTCCCATATGATGACAAGTTTATCGGTAGATGAGTACTGCGATAAAACTTTTGTGGTGAGTTTTGAATTAGCATATGCAGTTGACAGAAGAGTAGTTGTTACAGCATTTACCTTTCTCCTGCTTTTCTCTTAGTTTGTAAGTATTTTTTAAAAATCTCTGCAATGTAGTTTAAACAGTCATCAAATTTGAAACAGTGCACACCTATCCTTGACAGTTGTTTTACTTATCTGGACATCTACACTTTGTTTAACTTACATGCATTCAAATACAAAATCATGCAAATGAATCGGAAACCCCATAGGATGTAATTATTTATAATTTAGTTATCTATATGAAATTGATGGATTTGGTGTCTGATACCTATTGTGACAACTGTCATATGTCTCATAGCTAAGGATCTCTTTATAGAGCTGGTTTTAGATAACATTAAAACTTTTATAAAAATATAAAATGGCAAAACCAAACCAGTGACTACTTTTTTAAGGTACTTTCTAAGAAGTTGATTGACTAGCAATTGTATTTTTTAAAAATGATATTGTCATTGAATTGTCTTGTTTTTTCTCATGTTAGACCCAGAATAAATTCACTTACACTCGTGTGTACTAAGGCAGTTGTGGTTACTACTGATTAATATAAAAGTGTACCAAGTTGCTATAAGCCTTTTTCTAATAGAGTGTTAGTTTGGATGTAGGTCTTTTCTTTTGGGAAAAGATTATAAATGGGAATTAAAAGTTTTCATGCAGTTTTGGAATGTACTAGTGGTAGTGTAGCAAGCAGCATGTTTTACAAAGATGAAGCTGGTCATGTTATGGAAGGCAATTACACAGCTTTTTATGAAACATAGTCATATGCTTTTTGAAACATACCTGCACTTTTTAAATAGAAAATGTAAAATTAGCAGTATTTCTAATTTTTATTAAGGATTCTTTTAGCATATTAAGATAATCTTTACATAAGAGAAGTTAATTGTTCTTAGTAGAGTTTTTCAGTTTAATTCTTTTTTAAATGATATAAATAAAATGCAGTGCTTCAAATGAAGTGTCTTATAAAGGGACTGAAATTTTTACATGTATGTATTTATAATTTAGATGTGTTTCTTAAACTTTAATCACTGGCAAAGAATTCCTAGTTGGCTTACATACACCTTGAATTGCAGCTGATGTTAACTGTTTCTAAAACCTTTTTTAGTGCAAATACACACTAGACAGGATTATTTTAGCAAATATAACATTATCATGGAAATGGAAAGGTAGGACTTATCATGACTAACCTTTTAGATTACAGAATTTGTGGTGGTAATCCAAAGAGTCTGTCTTTTCTGTGGGTGTATCACAAAACTTACTTTATTTTCAGTATCTGACTTAGTTGCGTTTTGCTTTTAAATCTAATAAATGGGATGGCTGATTAGGCTGCCTGAATGGCCTCCAAGCAAATCATCTTATTTTAATTTCCGTTAATTGCATTAAATCTCACTGTCCCCAGTAAAATGACTGAGAATGCACTGAGGTCCCCCTGACTGGGTATATATAGGGGATGTGGAATTCAATTCACTGCAAAAACGGTTTATGGTGTATCCTGTGTAAGGAATTTTACCTCAATGAAAGGATGACAAAACTGAAGGAAAGACAGTTCCCTGTTCTGGTTTACCTTGTGTAATAGGAAGTTGATCTTTCTGGGAGTATTGGTGAAACTGGTTTGTCTAGGCTCTGCAATGTCATCTGAAATGTGTAGGTGAAATGGCATGACCTCAAACTTGCATTTTTAAATTATTTGTCAGGGAGCAAGGCAAGATGAACACATGTGCAAGGTTGATTATTCAGCCTGGACCATTGTGGGCAGGTTGTTACTTAAAAATTATTTTGAGGCCAAATAATTCTGCTGATGTCAGAAATTAAACAAAAATAGACCACAACAGTTTCATTCTGCAGTATTCTGTTTTACCATTTCTGGTTTTCAAGTCACAGTGGTTACGATGATGTCATTAATATCTGTCCTTTTTACTGTGTTGATAACCTGAAAACGTGCATATTAATACCAGGCATGTGAGCCTGATTACATAAAAGAATGTTCAGCCTATAGCAGTGTCTACCTATGTTGATAGAAGGGGAAAAGCAAGAATCTGCTCAAGATCACTAATGCTAATAGATTTTTTGAGAAATGGCAGTGAACACTAAAGTAATGGACCATTTTTCCCAGTTCTGCACCCTTTCTATGCAAGTCTGAATGGCAGCAGAAATGCTTCCTACTGTCCACGTATTCTGATAAAGCAGGCTTAAAAAAATGTGTGTTGCTGCTGTCTTCTGTCTGCCCCACTTACCCTTCTTTTATAGGGGTAGGAAGATGTTCTCTTCTACCTGATCGGCTCAATGATATTTTTCAGAGCCGGGCTTTACGAGGAATTATGTCTTTAAAATACAGAGATTATCAACTGTCTTGAATGGCCAGGATGAGGTGAAGATGTTAGAATTTTTCCAGTTTTGTTGCGAGGTCTCAAGAAACTGCATAATGAGGAGGATGGTGTTGGCTTGATGCATCTTCATCTTCAGTTTGGCAGTTTACAGGGGTTTTAACACGTCTTGAATGTTGTGCTGGTATTATGTGTAAAAATGAAAAAGTTGGTTTTGTCATTTCTGTTCTTACCTAGCAAAATAATGGAGAACTGTCCCACTGTGAATGCTACATGACTTGGTTACAAGGAAGGTTCTTAATGTGTTCAAGGGAATGTTTATTCCAGGCATGTTTATCTAGAAACACTAACACATTTCAGGAACTGTTTTGGTCTTGACTCCCTGAGTAGGTTTAAAATCTAAGTGGTAATGTTTTCCAGTATAGCCAAGTATGAAAATTTAATGTTTAAACCCGAGAAATTAGCACATTAGGAATGCATGTACCAAAGATTTAGTGAAGTGGTAGTCATGGAGTCACCTCTCTTTGGGATTACAGCTCAGCGTATTTGCTGTGACCTTGTACCATCTCTGCTAACATTGTTGCCAGACTCCTTCAAGGAGTTTATCCAAATGTAGGCTTGTAACCTTCTGTTTTATGTGAAATCGAGTGGGTGACAAAATCCATAGCCAAACATTTTAAGTGCATAATATAGTTTTTCCATTAATGGCTCTAAATGTTTAGCCAGATTAACTCTGATTTAAGTGAAATTGACCCATCTTTTGTATTTCTTGGATGCATTAGCCAGATTGACAGTATGAGATTTAAAATAAAATGCCTATAATAACCTTTTCACATTCTATTTGAATTTGGTGAAGACAGAGAGCAATAAGGAATAAAGGTGATTTGAGAGATGTCTCAGAAAGCACTTTGACTTAAAAAAAAAACAACCTAAAACATCAGGGAGATCCGTAAAACTGGAGGATGCCTCAATTATTATCACTGTGAGGGTCTCTAGGCATGGTAGGAGTCATTATCATTCAAATAGCTATGTGACTGTTGGAATCCTGAGCACAAGTTTTGACTGCAGGCATTGGCAGAAATTAATAATCTTTAGTTATATGTATGATGTGGAAATTATATGAATACATTCTGAAAAGGAGACTTATTGGCTAGGCTGCCCATGCTTACGCATTCATATGTACGCATGCCTGTGTATTTCCCTGTGTGTGTATACATAATCTCTTATAGATTCTTGCAGAAGCCTTATAAGTAATTACCAGCCACTAGGGGTGTTTTAACACTATTTTAAATTCTATTAAATTATATCTAGAAAAGCTGATGAAGTTTATTAGAGTAGAAGATTTATGTATATAAACCCGCTCAAAAGTGGGTAGCGATTTGTGATCTATTTCTGTGTAAAGCATAATGCAGCAGTGGTGGGTGAAATTTGAGCTTCTGTATAGAGATCATAGAATCATAGATGAGGGAATGTTTTCAGTAATGTGAATAGAGCTCAGTATATTTTTGTTAGGCTGGGTTGAAACTCTTAATATGTTGGGGTATGCCTTCATACAGTCATTTGCACACCATTAGCTGTTATATGCAGGGAGCGAATGTTCAGCAGTAGCAGCCTTTGAAAGAACAACTGGTACGTAATGTTACATTATAATTCCACAAACACATCAGGCCTCCTAAAAAAGCAGCCCTACCTCTCTCATTCCCCCCCCAGTAATT